TAACTCGCTTTAACTTGCTGCCAGTTATAAAAGAATCAATGAGCAGAGTTATTCTGCAGCCTTACTGTTTGCAAAATTTGACAAAAGCACAGGCAGGCTTTGATTCACTCCATCTTGGTTTCAGCATTCTTTAATAGGTTCCCCTTGGTGCTTGTTTAAAGCTGTGTCCTCTTCCTGGCAAACATTGGGTGTTTTACGAGGACGCCGTTCTTGGACCAGCATTTCCCCACAAAGATCTCACGCGAGCTCTCGTCGAACCCCACTTTCCTTGGCTTTTGATGTGTGTTCGGGCTGGCTCTGCTAGCGCCGCAACCACCTGCTATCACCTGCGTGCTATATTGTGAGGGTGTGAATAAATCAGCTACAGCTCCTCTATCAGTCCCTTCCCTTAGTGAGGCTTCAGCATTAGCATTTTGCTCTGTGATTTATGCCAGGCTGCTCCCCAAAATGAGCTTTCACTCCCCGGCTGCATCCTCCGCCTGTGAACGTGTCTGGCATCTCAGTGTCTTCATTAACTTCAAGGATGCCTTTGCGTGATTTTGTCATTCACTCCGTTGGCTTCTTATCATCCACCCTCCCCTCCATATGTGTTCTTTTTATTTGCAAAATCTGCTTTCTCCCCCTCTGCCTCCCTCTCAGGTTTGAACATTCTGGTGTCACTTGTTCCTTCTGTTTGTATCCATTTCCTGTCTCTTTTGTAGTTGTGCTGCTCTACAAGAGAATCAGTAAGGGAAACATCCTCTCTGGAGTAACACTCTACTGCACACTTGACACTGGCGAATTGAGAATGTACTCAGTACTCTGGAGTTTCTTTGCTGTCGTTCGTAGACACATCACTGCAAAGATAACTGTCTGATAAGCTGACGAGCCAATTTCCCTGGACCTGCCTCAAATGTGAGACAGATTTGTTTCTGTGTGTTCCGGCCAAATTAGCTGGTTTTGGAAAATGAGCTTGTGCAGCATTATTGCGTTGTCCATTAATAAACTAACAGGAAATGAAAGGCTTAGACATTGTACTGGCTCACTCTATAATGACTATGAATTTTCTGTCACTGAATACAGTTGAAAACAGCACCATATTACACCAGCTAATTGATGTTGCGGCTTTTGTCACCAAAATAGGTTTTCATGATTTTGTGACAGTAAAGGGTTTATCTTGAAATAAGAATCACTTTGATGCTTACATTACTTATACTATTTTGACTGCATAAGTCTGGTTATGCTAACAAGTACAGGTAAACTGCTTGCAGTACAATATAAATACCCTGATGGTGTGGAGGGTGGAACACTATTATAGGCCTTAATGGATTCCATTTTAGTTGGCAACAGAGGAGGGATTACTAACTATTTTCGGTGAGTAAAAGGACATGAGAATGACAATTACTATGCTACCTAGCTAACAGCTAGATAACATGTGTTACATGTGACCTTGCATGTCGTCATTCTTCATTAGCAGAAGAATTTACTGTTAAAGAAGTTGCATACGTTCACGAAATGTGACAGCTGACTGAGTTCTCCAGGCTTCTTGAATGACATTCAAAGTTTAACTGTTCATCTGCCAACATGATTCCATGCTGCTTTAATAATGTTGAGGTCCGAGCTCTGGGGAGGCCAGTCAATCACTGATAGTGTTCCTTTGTGTGTTGTTCTATGCAGCTTTGATTTTACTGAATTCCCAGTGTGTTTGGGATTATTTTTGCCAACCAGAAACTTTCCAGATGGTATTGCATGTTGGATCAAAATGTGATGGTACATTTCTGTGGTTGTAATTCCATCAGTTTCACAAGATCTCCAACACCACGATTGGATTCATCAGTCCATAAGACCTGTTGCAACTCATTTTCAGTCTGTTTCTTTGTAATTTACCCTATTTCTCTCCCTTAAGAATACGGTAGCTTATTGGCAGTCACTAAAGACAACTTTGAAAAACCTCCACAAATATGACTAGCTACTTGTTCAGAAAATGAAAAAAAAAAGGAGTGGCTCAAACAGTAGTGCTAATATAGTAGCAACCATACTGCATTACACTGGAGTACTAACAGAAATCAAGCTAGCAGGCACAGCACACAGAACAGCAATGTTTTTGCTTAAATGGCAATCCTAGCATGCTACATTCTCACGTTGACAAATGTACATGCTAACCAGATAATGTTCTTATGGAGAGCATCAGTGTTAAATATGTTATCTTGCTAAAATTTCCCAAGTATCACTTTCTGTAGCTAATTGGCCATAAACCATGGTGCATAAGAAGCACAAATTTTGAAATGACTATAGATAAAAAGCAAATTGGTTACTTAACTTTTCTTGTTGTTTAGGACTCAAATGTCAAAATTTCATGGCAAGATTTGCTTTTAGATTTTACAGTTCTAATTAAAATCAGAAATACTAACCTCACTGTGGCTTTGGTGGAAAAAACTGAATCAGAGGATCCCTGAATTAATTAGTTGCCATCTCAGGGAACATGTGTGTACTAAATTTAATGTGAGTTAGCACAAGATTGGCCACTAACTCATTGCTAGCTACTGCTTTGTTCATCAGACTGTGGACCAGCTTTTAATTCCAAACTGATCTGACAATCCGTGCTGCATGATTACATCTGGCCATCATAGAGAAGTCAGCAACTGCGGAGAAGATGTCAACACTTGGTCTCCCACAGGTCATGAATTTCATGTAGAACATGTTGCAGCACGCAGGTCTGTGCACCGTGCAGAGGAGTCCTCGCCTGTTCCGACTGTGCGCTGGCAGAACACCTGGCTGGATTTTAGGGTGGTTTTCATCCGCCTGCTGCTCATGGAATCTACACTGAGGACCCCAGTGAGTGATGCCTGGTTACCATGGAAACAATGATTTTGGGGAATTGGTTATGTGTTGAATGAGGCAAAGGCTGAGTGGTGGCAGGTGTGATTGAAGCTGTGATGTCTCCCCTAATGGTTCGCTGGGAGAGGATGAAAAGGCAGCCACACAGCAGGTGATGATTTCCAGAGTGTGTGTACATATAACTGTGTGTGTGTGAGTGAGCTCTGGAATCAAATCCATGTACGTTTTCTCCAATTAAACTTTGTGTAGACTCCTGATCAAAGACTCACACCTCAGAGGTCACTTGGCTCTTATGTTATCTTTTGTGCTTGTAGCTTTTGGAATCTTTGTCCTCTCACCTGCGAACAGAGAGAGTTCTACCTATGATCTTTTTTTTTAATATGAACCCTGCTCTCGCAAGCATTTTGTCAATAGACTAATAAAAAAACTTGGATTTCTATAACCCACTTTAAAGTGTTGCACTAAATGACTTCACACCTTGATTTGACACCAAATTCTCTTGAATAGCAGGCTAATACTAATTCTACACAGATACAGCCATAGATACAGTATATGGCCTGTATTTGTATAGCGCTTTTACTTAGTCCCTAAGGACCCCAAAGCGCTTTACACATCCAGTCATCCACCCATTCACACACAGGTGATGGCAGCTACATTGTAGCCACAGCCACTGACAGAGGCGAAGCTGCCGGACACTGGCGCCACCGGGCCCTCTGGGGAGGCCGATCCACGACTGATAGTGTACCACTGTGTTTTTTCTATCCAGGTGTGCTTTTATTACACTGGTAGTGCATTTGGGATCATTTTCCTGCTAAAAAACAAAAAAAACAAAACTAATGCTAATGAAACACTTTCCAGATGGCACTGCATGGTTGATCAAAATTTGATGATACAGTTCTGTCTTTATAATTCATCAATTTTGGCAAGATCTCCAACACCGGTGGTTGAAACGCAGCCTCAAACCATGACAGAGCCTCCACCGTGTTTTACATATGGCTGTAGACCCTCACTGTTGTACCTGTCACTTGAATTCTTCTCTATAAACTGATGATTTCTGAATCAAAAATATCCAGTTTGGATTCATCGCGCCATCAGACTTGTTGCCACTGATAATCAGCCTTTTCTCCCAGTTTCCCTTCCTTGACAGCCACCCTTCCACTGAAATACTTTCTCCTGATGTTTCAGTGAACAGTGGATGGATCAGCTGAAGGGCTAGATGCATCTCTCAGGTCCTGTGTTGGGTTTTTGCTGGTCTTTTCTTATTTATGTCCTTTTCTTAAGGACATGACTTTTAGACACAGTTCATCTGCTGTAGATAGTTGTTTTTAGGCTTGACACTTCTTTTGTCCTCCACTTGTCCAATGTCCCCAAACTGTTTAAGTACACACCGCACATATGCCAAGTTTCCAGCTAATAGTTCTGGGAATCACTTTATTGGTGTAAAAATGCTATTTTATGCCTGTCAGGCTTTGTTAGCTTGAATTCCTTTCCACTTAAATCCGCATAAAACATGTGTTTGTGTTTTTTAGATCTACATTGTAATTTTCCCTAAGTTGCACAAAGCTCCCTGCTCCAGGAGATGATCTTAGTGAAACCAACATGTTTTTCTCGTTTTATTTCTAAATTAAATCACAGCAATAAGCTAGTGGGGTTTCAGTCGGATGTCTTGCTGAACAACAATTTAAAGATGCAAATTCACTGATTACTGCTAGAATGGAATCAGTAAAAAAAAAAAAAGAAAAAGGTCTATAAACACCAACACTATTTCCTGGGCAAAACATTAAGTTTTTTCCCAGGAAATAGTGATTGGTCAGCAAGGCAGGTAAGTCAGTGCCCGATCTCTCATTATTCCTGACAGGATCTAAATCCTGTGGCATTGCTAGCCGTCATTATAATTTAATCACAAGAATCAGTCTAACTCACACAGTCACACACAAAGTCAAAGGTACATGCATCTTAGAAATCTTAGGTTTCTAAGATGCATGTGCACACACAGAGAGCTAACGCAGCTTGTGGCTGTGGAGAGGGTAGAGAGAATATGAATCAGCTGGTTGTCCTGGTGATCAAAAGCTAATGTGAGATGTTTATTCTCTTCGTGTCCTTATGTTCCAATCTCCTTAGGAAGCAAACACAGAGCATCTGTGGGTAAATGTGTCAGCTAGTGTGTGTGTTATCAAGCTTACGGTAGATCTCCAGCACAACGGAGGCCTCCTCAGTGTGACCACTGACATCGGTGGCCTGGCAGCGGTAGATACCCGCATCTTCGATGATGGCATTATAAATAACGAGCTTGGATCTTGATGCTTCTGTGTGGAGCGCCATTCGCTTAGAGGCCACGATGCGCTCGCCCTGGGGGTTATACCACTCCAACTTGACCGGCTCGCCGATAGCTAGGAGCAGAGAGAGAAGGAGATATATCAAATAAACTGATTACAAGGAGTGTATTTTACTCTGTTAGACCGGCAAAGTAAAGATTATGTCACAACACAGCATAATGTTTACATTCATTCGTTGAGAAAGAGCAGTTTTCATGATTACTCACATTCACACATGAGATCTATAAAGAGGGCAGTGTTAAGTGCATACTTTGCACCTTCTTGACCTTCAGCAGCTTTATGTATTTCAAAATGAATCCAATGAGAAGAAGCTGCAACAGTTTCAGCAGTTTAAAGCCTCAAGATTGCTTGTGAAAATATACCAGATTGCCTTTGAGTACCATTTACTTGGCATGGCTATACCGGAAGACCTGTAGCAGATAACTACGTTTGCTCACAACTGTGTCCCCACCCACTCTGTAAAAACAAGCTTTTACAGAGTGAAACTTTTACAACTGAAGCATCCACAAACCGAAAATGGAGTAGTCCAGGTAGCTCCACAGCAACTAACATTAAAGTTAACTTGAATTTTACAGTTATGTTGAAATAAAAATCAACTAATTATTTTAATTGAAAACATGAAGGCTGCAAGCTGCTTCAGACCTGCTTAAAAATGTTTTCTGGAAACTAGTCATTATTATCAGAGTTCAAAAATATCAAAGCATCAAAACAACAAAGTGGTCCAATTATTGTACGTAGTTTCAGCCGATTCATAAAATGTGATTCAGCCTCTCCAGTACAATTTTCATATTTTTGTAGGTTTCTTTTAACTGGACAAAATGATCAATTAGTATGGGTGCAAAGTAATTGCCATTATGCTGTAGGGCACATCTTAAGCTTGCTTTTGACCTGTCAATGAACAGCCCATTGTACCCAAAAGACATTCAGCATCAAAACAATAGTCAAAGGCATCAACCATTTCAAAGACTTTTCACATGATGCCTACAAAAAGAAAATCTGGTTGCTAGGAAGAGGTTTTCCTCACTGAGCCTAGACTGAAGCAACTCAACTGCTTCGTTTGGCAGATCCAAAACTCATTCTTGGTTATTTAACCCTGGGTAAATGAATAACTAGGGGAGAGATGAGCTATTAGAAGATGGATCTTCAAAGTCCTCATCATTAGAACGGTGTGCATCTGGAGACAAAATATAATAAGACGCTTCTCTCTCATCAAATAAGCCAACAGAAATATTTCTGTTGGTATTTCTATTGGTTTTCATCATCTAAATGTGAACAGGTCTGATTGTGATGGCAGGTTAGCGTAACTAAGTAACTGTCGTCACCCCCCAACTGGTCACAGGAGATGTATGGCCCCTCCCTGAGCCTGGCTCTGCCATAGGTTTCTTCCTGTTAAAAGGCATTTTTTCCTTCCCACTGTCGCCAAGTGCTAACTAATAGAGGGCAGTTTGATTGTTGGGGTTTTCTTTGTATTGTTGTAGCATCTTTACCTTACGATATAAAGTGCCTTGAGGCAACTACTAATGTGATTTCATTCTGCATAAGTAAAATTGAATTTAGTTGACAGATGATTTGGTTTTTGAACTGTATCCAGAAATACTGATTTAACCAAAGTATCACAGTGATTCTGTGGCTCCATCCATGCCACCAAAACCCAAAGCTCTTTGTCTTCCTATAGTCCACACTCGGTTTTCGACACAACCTGGCAAACTGAAAGTGCCCATGACTTGTCTTGGTTGCCATTTTTATGCTAAAATAAGCACACCTTTTTTTTCCACAGAATCTGCGACGGTTTCATCCTGTTTGGATGTAGTGAAACATCCACAAATATAGCACAAGAAAACTTGTGAAAAAACATGATGCAATGAGCAAACATGAGGAAAAATGAACATTACTTTTTGAAATCATTAAAGAACAAGTGTTAGGTTTCATATAGTAAAGATGACGCAGGGGGTCAAAATCCCAATTGAATACCCTTTATTTCATTAGATATTACATGTGAGTACTTTCTTGGTACTGTTTGGTTTGCTCTGCAGAGCTGAGGACCATCTACTGTCTTTGCTGGAACTAGTTTAGCGAACAGACGGGCTGAAATTACATGATTATGTCATAATCTTGGATTTACATAGCTAATAACTCTGTACAGGAACAGGGACATATGCAGTCCATAAATTCCACTCTTGTTCCTATGTTTACAGCACTCCTACGATTGCAAACACGGATAGATTCTTAAACATGGGTGCAAGCAGTAGGCCGGCTGAAAAGCTAACCTGAATTCTGATTAAAATGGCGCCCATATGTACCTTGTGAAACATGAACTCATCTGGCTACTGTAGGAGATGATAGAACCATCTGCCCGCAGCAGGTGCTGCTTGCCTGTAAATTCTGCAAATAAAAGTGTCAGTGTGGAGGGCCATTACTTGGCCCATCAATCAGCCAGAGACTGGAACAAGAGAGGATACAGACAGAGGCTTGTCCAGTTAGGAAACAAAAGATAGAGGAAGAATAGAAATGGCAGACACTGTTATATCATATCATAATAGAAAAACGGCAGTATGACCCCTCAGAAAGAGGGAGTAGAAAGCAGACAGTCAGAATTACAGTCAGAATTCCCTTTCCCCCCCTCTCTGCTACTGTCTGTAAGATGCCCTTGAGCAAAGCTTTTATCATTCAGGTGCACAGCAGCCTGCATCAGAAGCCTGCAATGGCTCAGCTCACAACAGGCAGGAGTAACTGTGAGGGGATGGCTTCAGGTATGACTGGATTTTTGCTAGGGAAATATGCGGATTATAAAAAGAGCATAGAGCTTAGATAAAAATCTATTTTAATGGCTCACAAACACAAGAAGGTACATGATAACAAAGTTCCCTCTTGATATCCATGCTTCCAAAACGCCGGCTCCAGCTTACATACCCCAACTCCGATCATCATCACATGTTTCCAACAACCATCAGCGTTGCATGCTTGGCGTGTGTTGCTCATTAGTTTCAAAGCCAACAAATCTGATGAGGCAATCAAACACGAGTGTTGCTCAAATCACATTACAGCACCAAGCGTCCCGGGCTTTCCGACCGGAGGCTTGTGGGGAGCAGATAAGCGTCTAGCATCCCCGCGGCCGTCTCTTTATACCTGTTAGTATCCCAACGTTATCAGCACTTTCCATTTTACAGTCTGTTGACAGCAGAGACAGTTAAATATGCTCACACTGATGCAGCTAGTGTGGTGACAGGCCATTTGCTTCACAGATGATCTGAGAAGACAGGAGTGCAGAGCGTGATGCCCTGTTTTTCACGCTCAGCCCTGCCTCCCTCCTGTGCGTCTTTACAACTGCATGAATAGCTTGTGGAAATTTTCTGTCGAACAGCTCTGAAAATCTGCATAATCTCTGGTGTTATTACTGATTTCTGCTGGAAGACAATGACCGTCTCTTCTAAATGTTGTGCGGTAAGACAATGATCACTTTTTCTAACCGAAACGTCTACTGCGGCACTGTGATTGAATGACAGCTTAATCCTGAAAATCACAAAGAAGTGACCCTTCAGATGGAACCGGGACAAGCGGAAAAGCTTTGTGTCCTCCTTGGCAGTGAGAGAGCAGCTGAAAGAAATACCGAAGCAATCTCCTCAGCTCCTGCACAGGGTAGATTATTGATTAAGGAGGCCTCTTGGTGCCAAAATTAGCTGAGCACAAGCCTAAACACTCTCAGATTCCCACAGCACCTGGCATTGGGGTCTTGGTAGAAATTGATTTAGGTCTCCAGGGAAGTAGATAGCAGCAGAGTAAAAGGCTGACCAGGGAAAGAATCTCACCGGTCAGCGTGTTTATGTGTGCCGCTTGGTATCAAAATGATTGGTTATATATCTATCTCTGTCTACTCTGTAATGTCTAGCCACTGGGAAAATGCAGGTCTACTGGGACGAGGGATGTGGCCCTCCCTGCTTTGGTTATCTGAAGAAAACATGGAGAAACACATTAGCTGCTGGATCTCGGCAGGCTACCGAGGTTGCTTTTGTAGCTGTCTCCTGTCTTCTGCAGCAGCCAACACTTGTTCTGGCTCTCTGCCACTTCAGTCACATGGGAGGTTAAACACACACCTAAACACCCATTTATCCACCTCCTTATTTGTCACGCCACGAGTCCAGGTTAATTTCAAATAAGAAGAAAAGAGCTGCAGTAGGTGTCGTTATTGCTGTAAAAAAACACCAAACTGGTTACAATATTGAATACTAATAAAGTCATAATTGTTTTTAATGACACTTAAAATAGTTTGGAAAGTCTTGCTGACATGATTGTGCTAGTGTCTTCAAATAACAGGCAATAATTTCCCAAGTTTTAAGAAATTTACATCTTCCTGAATGGACATTAATGAGACAAAATGTTTAATTGACATTTAGGCACCTCTCATATCTTTTGCTTGAAAAATGAGAAATCTGTGAAGCAATCTATTGAAACCTGACAAAACTACATGGAAATAAAGTGTATAACTTCTCTTTAAGTAGTTGTCAGGAATAGTTCTCCAGTCTTCTTGAAGGGTAATCAAAGCTGCCTTTTGTTCTGTTTTCTGTCAACATGATCCCACACTGCTTCAGTAATGTTGAGGTCCGGACTCTGGGGAGGCCAATCCATGACTGATGGTGTTCCACTTCGTGTTTTTTCTATACAGGTATGCTTTTACTGCATTGGCAGTGCGTTTGGGATCATTGTCGTGCGAAAAAAATAGATACTTTTCATCTGCTGTAGATAGTTTATTTTGTTTAGGGCTGGCACTTTTCAGGTTTCGTCTAATAGCTCTTTGCTGGTGCAGGAAGTATTTGCACCAGCAAATGCAAATAAAAGATATATTTAAGGGCCTGTCAAACTGTGTTAGCGCTGGCATTTCGAATACATTCAAATAAAGTCAACTCAAGAAACTGGAATAAATTATCTGTTTTAGTGACAGGCTGCTAGATACAAAACTAGTTCTTTCCAAGTTGTCTGTTATGTGTAGACACAACACTGTTTCATTCCTTGAGTTAGTTTTTGTATGCTTAAATGAGATGAGATGAGAGATGAGATAG